TTGAAGGGGCCCCAAACCCCCAAAATGCGCCCCAACACAATGTGTTCGGAATTTTCGGTTCTGTTGGCCTTAGGAGGGCTCTTCTACAGGCCTTGAAGAGGTAAGGGCTTTACTTCTGGAACCGTGCGAACGCGAACCGAACGGTCCAGAACCTTCGCTCAAAACCGAACCGCCGAACCGAACCGCACAAACAGAAACCGTAACCGAACCGAACCGAACCGTTTGTTTCCTGCGAAGGGCCCTAACATGTTGTGCTTTCGTAATGGGACAGGGTTTAGGGATGTTTAGGGTTTCGGGGCTGAAGGATATTCTAGTGCCTTGCTACTTGCAGTACACAGTCGTACCGTCATCGTAGCCTCAGAACAGCCCAATAATACCTCATGGCAGCCCTCATAATTTGTACCTGAATAGCTTTAGTCCTATAGTGTTACGGTGCTAGTACCCTCATGATTGGTACAGTACCCACATCGTACCCTACTAGAACTCCTATAGTCCCCGAAACCCTAACTCCTAAACCTCGCCGGGGCACTTCTCGCCCGCTCGCATCAGCTGCAAAGCTTCTGACCAGCCCGGGACCACCTCAGACGGCCTTCGCGGATTTAGGAGATTCCGCGTTTAGGCGGTTTGGGGTTTAAGGGGTTCAGGGGCTTAGGGGCTTCGGGGTTTAGGGTTTTGGGGGTTTGAAGTACTCTCCAAATCCGGGCCTGAAGATGACAGGATCTCCTCTGCGGTACCTGCCAAGGCCGATCTATCTACACTGCATGCCTCGGAGGTTTGAGCTCACTGCCGACGGCGCACGAGGAATCAAACTCCGTGCCGTCCACAAGAGTGCCCTTGTAGTGACACCTTCGGTGGCCATGCCAGATACTTCAAGACTAAAGAGCGAGGTTCAATACCCTATTATGATTGGGGCAAGGGCCTAGAGTCATATCAAGGGTTCTTGCAGTCATAGCCCGCAAAATATGGCAACGTACAGCGGCATCATCGCTAGCAGCAGCACCACCACTGCCGGTGTCGCCAGCATCAGCATCAGCATTATGATCATGATCGTGATCATCATCATCATCATCATCATCTTGTAATCATAAAGGTCGTCTCTTCTTCTCTTCATGAGGCTACTGTTGCTCTGCTGCTGCTGCTGCTGCTGCTGCTGCTGCAGCTAGCTGTAGCTGCCACAGTAGCAATCATGCAGGAGGGTAGCATATCATGAGTAGGAGGAGCTGCAGCAGCCAGCAGCAGTAGCAGCCAGAAAGTGGGGACTGCAAGTGCAGAGACAGTGGTGGCAGAAGAAGCCCTCAAAGTTCTCCCCCTGAAGCCTCCGCCCCACCCAAGCCTGCAGGGGTTGTTCGGACCGGGCCTGCCGAGCTCGAGAGATCAAAGCCAGTGACGGCTGAGGAGCTCGGAAGCTAAGGTGGCTTTAAATGCGGCTTCAAGTTTCCGAGAGGGTCCCATTTTGTGGTGCAGTGGGCCCAGGGTCTTTCTAGGTTTCTCAAGGAATCCGCAAAGAGCTCGCTATGCCTTCGAACGACGAGCCCATCGAGACTGCTTTTGAACCACCATCTGATCGACAGCTACACCGCGCCTTTTCAGCGGCCAGGCTGAGCGCAAGGCCCGGTACATCCAAACCTCAAGCCCGGAACCTCGCCCGAACCACCAACTCCCGTTCAGCCCTACTCCCCAGCGCCTCTCTCCGGACGGATTACTTTTGATCACCTGCACTCAGAGTCGGCGAGTTGGCCGACTACTGCACGAGATCTTCCAAAGCCACACGGACTGCCCGCAGTACTGTAACCGCCGTGACCACTATCCGAATCATCCGCATGAACACTTACCACCGGCAACAGCATCATCAGCAGCATCATCAATCAATCAATCCATCCGTCCGTCCATCCATCCACCCATCCATCCATCAATCCATCATCATCATCATCATCGTCATCATCATCATTATCACCATCATCATCATCACCATCTACTTCCTCGGCGTCGTCGTCAAAGTCTTCTTCATGTCATCACGCACCATCACACAAGCCAGGACAAGGCAGAACCATCCACAGTCTGATTCTCACCGCCCCCATGAACACCAGTAGTCTTCACTTGAGGAAATGACAGTGAAGGAGTGGTTGTACGCAGCAAGCCAGTCCTTGTAGCGCAGGCCAGAGCTCGTCTCCTGGAACCCATGCCTCTCGGCACGTCTCGGCACGTCTCGGCAATACGTTGAGTCGTTTTGTCACTAGCTCCATTAGCTGCATCGCGCTGCACATCACGGTAGGATGGAGCCTCGCACACATCGTGCTTGCGGGGGGGTGCCTCTTGACCGAGTCATCCAGGAATTCCTCCTGCTTGGCGCCGCGGAAGCGCAACGCCTGGGATAAGTGACAAGTTGGCATTGCAGTTTTTTCGTCGAAGAATCACCGGCTTATACTCCATACGTTGTACATGTAAGTTAGGGTCTGTATGCTGTAGGGGCTTAGTTCCGATGCCAACAGTATGCAGAAAAGTGACATCACGATACATGAAGAATCTTGGCTGCACAGGAAAGCTGGTGCCGGCCCACACGAAGAAGCCGTTCCGAAGAGTCAGCTCACTTGTCCCAAAGCATGCAGGCTACTCGACCATGAACATTGCGAGGGGGCGACGCTTGCGCTCTCCTCGGTCGCCATGCCAAACCAGTGGATTAGTTTAAGCGTGTCTGGATTCTAAACCACCTGTAACAACTGCCGGCAGACTCAGGGTGTTGGGTGACTAGCGGGGACAGCATCCCAAGACAGGATGCCATGTGCGCAGCTTTCGAAGTCGTGTAGCTGAGGGAAGGCAAAGTCATAAGCTGCAAGCAGCAAGCCTGAACAAAAATGGATCAACATCACGACGTCGCTTGACTAAGAGCGGATGGGCATGGACTAAGCAAATGCTGGGATCTTGCAAAAGCGTGAAGAAACATGTACGTTCTGCGGCCAGTATCCGTTTCTGTCGCGCGCCGACAGCAAACCAATCGCCGATCATGACTATAGCTGCGCACGGAGCGCGCTGGCGGCTCACTATGTACATTGCAATCATCTCTTGGACCGCTATGAGTACACATCGATTCACTACCATCTTAGCTGCTCCAGGCCGTGCGAAGAGTAGGACCTGCCATAGGGAACCGGACTCTTCGCAGATCGATCGCCTCAGCGGAACTACCGCTGCCACACATAAAGCCGAGACCCTCAGACGGCCTCCACACGACACCACCAACGATTCCACCCATGACAAGCGCCAGCACGAGAAGTGCTTGAAGCCTGGCAGCGCCAGCTTTTCAGGCGAGCACCGCTGTACGAGTACTGGACACACATGTTTTGGTACAGATTTGGGGTACGGAATTCCCACCCTGAAGTTCTAGGCACTCTGCAGAAGGACGTCGAAAAGCAAAGCAACGAAATTGATCCACGCAGGTGAGTTGCTTCGTCATGATCTTCTCAGAAAACGCACGGGAAGCCAAAAGGGTGTCTCAGGCTAGCAGTGCTGCAGCATGCTATTCAATTGCCCAAGTGGATGCGGCAAGCTCTGCAAATGCCATGATCGGCCAGACCTTACCCGAAGCCTCGACTTGCGAACATCCAAGTGAGGCCCCGGAGCCAATCCAAACAAGACACGACAACAAATAAGACAACCCTGAATGCTCCTCAGCTGCGACAGGGACAGGGCTTCGTCCTGCACCCTCTGAGCGGGCAAGATGCCTCGGAACAACTGCAAGCCGGAGACGTCTACCGAGAGTGGGGGCCTACGTCCTCGCCGTAGAATTCTCAAGAAATGTGCATTGAACTAGAAATTGCACCGTCCGTGGATCTCATTTGTACCCGGGAAACTCGTGCCAAAGATCCCAGAAGTCAGCTCATCGGAATCGGACCTCAACTCGCCGACGTAGTTTTCAGACACTTGCATCTCGTCGCGATGCATGTCTTAGCGCTCTGCATTGAAAGCACTTGTCTTGTCTTGGTTCGGTACCCAATGATCAGTGTCGACAACCACAGTTACTGCCATTAGTATACTGTCTGCGTTTGGCATCCCTGGCCCTGCCAGAATTTTCAGAACCACCATCACCTTCCTCAGCATCACATCATGCTCCTAGAACCCTCAGCATGAACATCGTCATGATCACCACCATCATTCGTCGCCCACGCCGTTGCAACGATCGTCATTTCGTCATGATCATGTCTTCAACTGCTACGATCATTACCATGTTATCAGCCACGGGGGGGTTGGATCCCTTCAGTCCACTCCTGAAGTCAATCGCGACCCGCGTTCCCCCTGGGCAAGCAGATTTTTGCATCCGCCGGTCACATATCACCGGAGCCCGGGTCGGCTAACTTCGAAAGCAGTCGGCGCTCATCTTGCGCCCCTCGGCTGCCGGGGAGACTTTGCAACCCCACGCAGCCCTTGACTGCTGTCAGATCAAGAGGTGTTGAGCTTCGCTACGGCGAACTCTCAGCCAGCGTCACATCGGCCGAGCGTCACAGCCACAGTTTCTGTTGCTCAGAGCTCGCTCTGTTAACCCAATATGCCAGGGTTGGCAGACATGACACTTTCGAAATCTGTTTCTCGGCAACGGTCAGCTGGCATAACAACCTTTTGCTCCTTACGATCATAACGGTACCGTGAAACAACGAAGCACTGGCAGCCGGCAGATTCCTGTCGTTCAGAACTCGCCGAGCTCACCCTCAGGTATCAGAGTTGCAAACACCGTGTTCCGACATTTTTTCCTCTGTCTCAGCCCAGGGCAGCTGGCCAGCGCGGCCAGCACCAAAACTTCCAGCAGTTTGTTGCGCAGCCTTCGTCCCAGTGGTTCCTTCGCATGACATGCTGCAAAATCCGAAACTAACCTGGATCGACAAGAGGCGGCTCCTGGTCTTGTCATAAACAAACGCTTTCTGATCGAAGAGTTCGTTATACCTGACAGCACGGGCACTACTGCAACGGAACCACGTCTCGACTTGTTGAAGACGTGGCTTTTCGTCTGATTCTGCACTTTGGAGCACTCGTCGTCATCCAGCTCGTGCACAGGTATCCCGTCTCCCATGGAGGTCTGGTTGGCCTTTGCTATGCCGCTGTGCAACTGACCGACAACCTCTCAGCCTGCGATACCAACTGGATGCATGAGCTCCAAACCACATAGTGCAAGTTGTTCTTCCACTCGTGCCCCAATTCGTTCCTGCCGGCTCTAGGTCGCCACAATTCTATGCACCGGCTGCCTACGAGTACATCGCCCACGATCCTGGAGACCAGGCCAATGTGGATTCGGAAGATGGGACTGAACAGCAAAAGGCTTCGTTTGCTGCTCGTCTTGTGCTGCGTCCGAAGTTGTCACTGAGGTTGAGGACACTTCAATCGCGAGGAGTCCCACTGAGAACGCGAGGTGCGATCTCGGATGTAGAAATTACGCGTGCAGATGCAAAAAGACGAGCTAACATGCCCAACGCAACAGTCAAGGCAAGAGCACCACCGCTACCTCGGCTTCCCACAGGCCCTGTGCGGGACAGCCAGGCAAAGGGAGCAATGCAGAATCGATCATAAACGACTCATGCATGCCGCTGCCTTCTTTGCGAGGAGCAAAGCAAGGTAGCCATCCAGGGTTATCCCAAACCTCACAATGTTCCATCGCCAAGCAAACGAAAGCCCAACGAACATCCAAAGCCTCGCAGCTGCTGAACAGATGATGAGCTGAGGCAGTGGCAGGCCAAGCAGGCACAGGCCTCAAAGGAGCTCACGGTCAGCAACGACGATCACGTCCGCAAAAAATGCAAAAACGCAAGTCACCCTACCGGATGAAAGAGACCGTCGAAATTGGTGTCATTGTGCACTCGTGTCCGACAGACTGCTGTTCCCTTCAACGTATGAGGTAAGTGACGGACCTGGTACACGAGCGAGTCAGCGGCGAGTGCACGCTCATCGGCGGAACTTGAATAAAATTCGTTCAGCTTGGCCGCCGGCCAACCAACATGAGAACGAACTCTCGGTGGTTAAGCAGACCTCCAGGCAAGTTTACAAGACAGCATTGCAAGTAGAGTAGGCGTGCCGGGCTTTCAACAAGTCTGAGACTTCCACCGATGGCATTGTTAACCCATTTACCTTGTTCCAGCACCGCACAACAGTCGCTGTCACGGCCACCCACCATTCCTATCACCAACTGCTGCTGCCGCGGCAATAGTGGTCATACCTTCGGATCTTCCGAGGATATTGCCAAGACCTGGGAAGCAGATCCAAAATTTGACAGCCCGACGGCCCAAAGCCTACAGTATCCTACAGTATCAACCCGGTGCCGGACTTGTGCGCTCGCAACGGTCGGTCACCCTGGTCCGGCATTTTCAAACGCACTTGCCAGCTACGGAGTACTGACACTGACACTGCTCCAGGCCTGCTCCAGGTCAATGTTGTCTACAGGAATGTTTCTCTTCTTTTTGATCTGTCCGGGGTCTGCAAAATAGCAGTACCTGCAATGCAAATACGAGGGATGTGCACGAATGGAACCAAAGTGCCAAACAGGCCCAAGCTACCCCATCAAGATCACGGTTATGATGGTCAGGCCAACTTCGAGGCCTGTCAAAAGAGCCTCGCCAGCGTCCATATCGGCGTCAAAACCAGGCACAGCAGAACAGCCTGCGGTGTGATCCTGCCTCGCCCTCGGGCCAAGTCTGCAAACGGCAGAACAAGGGGATCTGCACTAGTGCCAGGCAGATCGATCCAGCGACCTTAATCCGCAGCTCGCGATCAGAAATGGCAGTTGTGATTCTTCTCAGCTGCGTGCCACAGACACGCCCAACGCCTGCGACTAAACACTATGCAACTAAGGCCAACCTCGCCGCAGAACGAGTTAACAAGCCGGGACGGCTGGAGGCAAGAAGGGCTTCAAGTCATAGCCCCAGTAGACATACTCTTCGGTCCTCGCTGACTGGGCATCGTCTGGCCCCCGACCATCTGATGCCACAGACTCTTCTGAGGCAGCAACGCTGCTTCCTCCCTCGCCTCATTCAGGCACAAACCGTCGAAACAGACGCAGTTCCAGAAGAGCGTGCCGCGAAGCGTCAACAGGCCGGAGCGGCTGACTCCTGCGCAGAGTCTTGAGATGTTGGGGATGCCGGGGACGATGGAGCCAACTGCCTCCTTGGACGAGCCGATCTATTAGGTTGGCCCCGTCACGTGTGATCCAGGATGCTGCGCTCAAGCGACATGCCCAGACTACACGATCGCTACAAGCAGAGCACGTATTTGCGTGACTCGTTATGAACAATGGTTTGAGTCAGCGCACGTTGGCATCAGCTGTTGCTGTGGCCAAGAAGTCTCCAAGCCTTCAAAGGGTGCATGGCTGTCTCGAGCCCGCAACACTGAGCAAAGCAACGCTTCCACAATCTGTGCAAAGCCAAGGAGCTGCCAGCCCTCCATGTTGGCGGGAGGGACATTTGTCCAATGCAGCGGTCGCGTCTTGTGGCCGCCAAGACTACTGCCGGGCAGCTTGAGGCATAGAGCTGCAGTTCATTCGGGCGGCATCCCAAATGCCTTGCCACAATCTAATGCTCATATATGCTCATATTTATATCTCGCGATCTGCATCAAGCGTTTTTCAGGGGACATTCGCCACGCCTGCTCTCAGAACAAGGGAGCTGAGCTGAAGGCAAGCTATCAATGCCAGCAACACGAGCAGTGGCCTTGGAAAGCTCACTTCTCACAAGGACTTCATGAACTAAACGGACACTTGCACCCCAAGTGGAATCGGCGCCATTGTGCTACAGCTTGGTCCCCAGCCAGTATGCAAAGCAAATGACGGGAAACAGCATGCCCCCAACGCACTTGAAATCTCTTGCTGCCTGCCCCAACAAGTCTGCATCGGGAAATCGGAGATATTGCAGCTGACGTACATATCATGTCCGGTTCAGCGATCTTTCGCGACCGGTCACCAATGCGCGACAGGCCACATCTCGCTACTATATCGGCAAGAATGCGCCGTTTTCGCCTCGTAGAGAAGCAGCAGCATGTCACTGCGGAAAGCCTGTGCCAGCTGCCCCTGCATCGAGGTCGCTTTTTCGGGAGCCACAAGACTCGCCGATATATATTCTGTGCTTCCTGGTTGGACTCTCAAACCGTTCAGTAGCAGCTCTCTAAGCACGATGTGATGATGGCAGCACGCTGAATCATGATGACTCCGAACCTGGATTGCGGTTAGTCGATCGCAATTGCTGCTCTCTCGTCCGCAGCTTCAACCAGAACACCCCGAAGATCCACATGGCGTTCAGATGCGTTCAGATTGCACGGGTCCCAACAGCACTGACTGCGATGGCCATGTCCTCTCAGTCCTAGGTCCACGAGCTGAGTGCAGCCAAAGCCGAGCACCTGCTGCAGCCATTGCACCAGCTGGCGTGGCCTTAAGGTCACTGCAGCCACTCCTTCAGTCAGTTAGGGAAAGCCCGGCGACATCTAAAGAGAGAACCTCTGAGCTCTCGACAGATATTTCTGCGCTTCTCGAGGCACTGCAGGCACGAGAGACCTTGCAAAGCGAGTCCCAAACGTCCAAGTTGTCGTGGCTGCAGGAGGAATCTTCACTGAAACAGGAACAGGCCAGCAGCACCTTTCATAGAAGTGCAGCATGTTATCCTGAGATAGCGCTTGACTATGAGGTAAAGTTCTGGCCTGCGCTGAAGAACGACTTGGGTGAAGAGTCGGCTTAGGACGCAGCTCCGACAAGTCTTGGGGAGTCACCCAGAGCTGTGGCGCGCCTCGGCAACGACAGATCTTTGTGGTCCTGGCGATTATGACAGACAGCTTGCCCTGGCAACAGCGGAGAGCTGGTGCTTGGTTGTAGTACTCTGAACCGCCCTTGGAGCGATGAGCATCAGGTAACAAGGAAGCTTTTCATTCTAGGGAGAACAAGCGGGGTAAGCTGCACATCACCGTTGCCACATTCCCGTCACATGTAAGGCGGGAGCACATTTGGTGGCACAGCGATCAAGAACGCATTGCCTCTCGGCAGCCGGGACTGAGGTGATACTTCAGGCTCTATGACTCTATGCATGAATGTCAGAAGTACTGAAATCAGAACCCAGAATCGAGACTTTGCAGAAACCTGACCCTGCCAACCACGCGGCCCCCGCACAACAGCTTGCAAAGATCCACTGTGAGAACAGCGCAATTCTTCAGCAATGCTCCGATGCTTCCACAAACTCGAGTGTCTGTAGCGTGCGAACTCACCCTGAAGCAAAGCAAAACCCCAGATCATCGATTCCCGAGGTGCAGATTCAGCTCCCCAAACCCAAAACCCCATTCACCCCTAAAGCCCGATATCCTAAACCCCAAACCCTAAACCCTAAACTCTAAACCCTGGCCTGCCTGCAAGGAAGGCCAGGATCAGGGTGGATCGAAGCGGCCTCCTTCGCATGTCCACGGGCCTTGGCGACGAGGTTAAAGGCATTCCCACCCATCTGCAAACTGATCACAGTAGCAACTAAGTCTCTAAGCAGTAACAGGAGTAGCAGCCATAAGAGCAGTCATCGCAGTAATAGTAGCAAAAGTAACAGTAATAATAATCAGAAAATTGAGAACAATAAGTATAGCAATAATCACAGTACTAGCCAAAGTTTAAACCATTAAGTGGCATTAAGACTAAACGAACTAACAACTACAAATAGCAGCAACAGCAATGACAAAAACGACAACAACAACCAGCACCACCAACAACAAGCAACAACAACTAGCACCAACACCAACACCAACTGGTAGAAAACTTACTTGTAACTTTTTCTTTTCTTAGATGGGGTTGCAAAACGGGCATCTTAGCTTTATCTTGTTTTCTCCCAGATGTAGCTTTTCACGTTTTTCACTCCTGAGGGTTTCGCCTTCGGAATTCAATCCCTAGTGTTTTCGTCTTGACTACTCACTCTTTAGGGCTTTCGTCTTGGGTTGAAGGTTCCTGGTGGATTTACTCCGTAGGGCTTTCGCCTATTCACTCCTTAGGGGTTTCGTCTTAGGTTTAAGTTTCCTGCTGGATTTAGCAGGAAAGGTTTTCGTCTTCGGTCAAAGGTTTCTGCTGGACAAGTGCCGAAGCTGCTATCAGGAAGATGTTGCGTGTGACTGTTTGGGTGGCTAGAGTTCAGGGTCTAGGGTTTAGGATGCTACATGTACCCCCAATTGACGTCAGAGACTGTTGCCCTTATAAACCCTAATGAGCCCGTAAAAAACCGCTGTAAGTTTACACCTTCATACAGCTCCAGAACGGGCTCTTTAGCGAAGTACACATCGGCGAAGGAGACGAAAGGCTCCCGCCGCACCAACACCAGGGCTGGCACCTGGCTTTGGGGATCTGGTTGAGGGCTCCTGATTAGGGTTGAGTTCAGACTGAGGTTTTAGGGCTTAGAGTTAGGGCATCAGCAAACTACATACAAGGGAGACCAGGCTACTCAGCCATCTTCGAAGAAGTGGAGCCGAGCTTGGCGGTGGGGTCTGCAGTTCATGGTTCTGCAGAGCGATAATGAGGAATTCTGTGTGCAGATGAAGGGAACAAGAGAAGCTATTCGAACGGCTGGCTGCAGGGAGATATCTTTGCGCAGGCCGGTGCCGCAACGTACCAACTGTCTTTGAACAAACCCAGCCAGTTGTGCGCAGACAATCGTCAAAGGCATGGCTAAGGCCCAGGAGTAGATCGTCACCGGGGCAAGGACAGCCAGGAGCCTGGCTCGGCTGAGAATGCTGCAGAGGCTGTTTGTTGCTCTACCATGGCGCCTCAGTCATGAGTCCCGAATTTAGGGGTATGTTGCAGACGTCTTTGAGCAGGGTCAGACAAGCAAGTAAACTCTTCAGCGGCTAAGGGATCACCATCTCGAAATCCTTCGGCACATCATACAACCAGGCCGGCAGACGCGAAACCGCAGGCCACTCGCACCTTGTTTGCTCCCTGATCCCTAAACCCTAGCTAAGCCCTTAATTTTTACAGCATGGGACGTCCCGGGCCAGGCGGTGAAGGAAACACAGAAAACAGACCCTCTCCTCTCGAAGCGTGCAGCGAAGGCCAGATGAAGCATGGCTACCATGATTGTCACCATCATGAATAATGAATATTAGTAGTAGTCGTCGTCGTTGTCGTAGCAGTAGCAGTAGCAGTAGGCAGTAGCAGCAGCAGCAGCAGCAGCAGCAGGAGCAGGAGGAGTCGGAGTCGGAGTCGGAGCAGGAGTAGGAGTAGGAGTAGGAATAGCAGTAGCTGTAACAGCAGCAGCAGCAGCAGCAATAGCGGCAGCAGTGGCAGCAGGAGCAGGAGC